TCAAGATCTACGATTCTCAGATTTAGAAGATGAACAGTCATAAACATAAAAATCGAGATCGGCTTGAAAGCTAAGTGTTTGAGCGGATTGGAAAGTGAATCGAATGGCTATACTAGAGATCCAGCGGAAGAGATCTCTAACACCACCTCCAACGTGTTGATATTACACACAACAAGTGAGAGGAAATCTGTAGACTTAGTTGATATTACGCACAACAAGTGAACAGAGAATGATCAAACAAAAAGAGAGGTTTTGATAATACATTGATTGATAAACTTCAAAGAGAGACAGACTAGGGTTTTAAAGAAAACGAGAGAGAAAGAGAGAGAGAGAGAGATGTTGGAACAAGCTCCAAAACATCTTGAAAATTCACAAAACATAAATGAAACAAAGACTGAGTAAAGAAGGTTGTCTTGGCGCTCTCCTTTGAAATATTTGGGCCGGACCTTCACAAATGAGAAAAGAGAGGATTTGGAAGTGTGCAATGGGCCTCGTTAAAAACCTTGTCAAGAAAAACCCATAGGGACAAAAACTTGACAAGGGAAAAAGAGCACACCAAAGCACACTTGTCTCTTTATCCCATTGTTAAGGCCTTCAAGTAAACCAGAGTAGTTGGCTTGGTTTCTTGTTGGTTCAAGGCGCTAAGGACTTTGCCAATTGCTTGGTTTAGTGCCTTAGTTCTTGAGCGAGTGATTGGGCCAGTTGGAATGGCTAAACTCTCCTCAGGTACAAGCTGCTCTGCTTCAAGTCCTTCCTCAGCTACAAGCTGCTCCATTCCATCTCCTTCTTCGGCCAAAAGCTGTGTTTCCTGAACCTCCTTGTCCATGATCGCATCAGTTGGGCAGGAGAAACTTGGAGGGTCCAACCAATGGATGTGTGAACTTGAATTGGAACCTCCCATCCAACTCCTTGTGCTCAATGAGAAGGTTGGTCTTGCAAAACTTGATGTCCATCCAACCTGGTTCAGTGGCTCTCTATCAGTTGGGTTCACTCCAGCAGCACACAAGATAGGTGTGATGAGCCCTCCAACACTTAGGCGCTTCCCTTGTTGATATCTAGTGTTGTAGGCTGTGATCTTGTAGGTGGGAGGTGGTCAAGGAAAGGCATCAAGTTTCCTGTGTCAGATCTATCTCCCCTGATCCTCTTGCCATCGCTTGTGCGTGAGAGAATGGGCTTGATTCCCATGTCAAGAAACTTGAGTTCCCCCTCGTTGATGGTCCCGGTTGCCTTCCTTGCAAAGAAGGTGTTGGCAAGTGCCTTGTGCACATACCTCAAGACTGGGCTCCTGATCTGAGCTGCCTTGGACCTTGAGGAAGAGTACACTCCATCAGCGATTGTAGCCCAAACCCTTTGGAGTTCCTTTTCCTTGAAGTTCCACTTACCCTCTCCATAGTTGAACCCAAACAAGATTTCCAGCTGCCTAAAGGTCACCATTCTCTTCTCTCCCTTAGCCAAGAACGTGATCCATCCCAATCCTTGGTCCAAATCAGCTCTATCTTCCTCATCGTACATGTGGTACCTCATTGAAGCTAAGAACTCGCAAGTGAGCTCCTTGTAGGATTCCATGTGATAGAGAAGAACTTGGCCAAGTGCATGTTCTTGAGACCAGCTCCACATCTTCAAAGATTCCAAGGGCCTTCATTGTGTCAACATGTGGGTACTTGGTGTCCATGAAGTCCATGGAGAAGAGAGCATTGTAGTGCTCTTGGTACATAGGGAGTTCTCATCCTCCTCTTGCGGCTCTCTTGTGGCTCAACCTCCTCCATAGGTTCATCTTGGTTACTCTCTTGCTCACTCTTCTTCAACCAACTGATTCACCTCTTCTCCTTCCTCTTCACTCTCAGTCTCATCACTTCCTTCTTCACTTGGAGAACCATTTCCCTCCTCTTGAACAAGGTTCACTCCAATCTCAAACTCCCCTTGCTCACTCTCACTACTAATGGGGTCATTCCTCTTCTTGGTCCTCCTTTCCTCCCTCAATCTCTCACTCTCAGACTCTTCCTCAGAGTATACATACTCCTCTGCATCAGACTCTTCCATCCTTTGAGTCATTCCCAAATCGGCTTGCATCTTAAGCCTTCTCTCCCTTGCATTGCTTGATTCACCCTCAACCATTCTCCTGTGAAGCGCGACTTCCCTCACTGTTTGTCATCTCTTTACACTGTTTCTTCACTAAAGTACCTGAAATGCATCAAAGATTACAAAGAATTAGAGTTGCAATGATCGGTTTGGTCAACTCGACACTCAGCTCGATCGAGTCAAAAAACTCGAGTGACAAACTCGATCGAGCTAGGTGAAAACAGAGTATAACCAAACCTAATTCAAGTATTAAGAGCTGGAAAGGATGCTAATCAATCAAATTGAACCAAGAACAACTAGTAAATGGAACAATGAGCAATTCTAGTGAAAACAAGCATCTTAACCAATACCAAACTCAAATTCAATTTTCAAGCACATGCAACAAGTTCTAAAGGCAAAACAGAGGTGAGGTGAGGCAAATAACAAGTATACAGGAGAATGATATGAAAGCAATTACTCAAGAACAAGTCCACAAGGGACACATGCAATCAAAAATCAAAGAGAAACAAGCAATATGAGAAATCGAGATGGAAGAATCAAGGGTTTAGGGTTCATACCTTGCTTGAATGATGAATTAAGAACAGTAAGCTAGAACCCAAACAAAACAATGAAGAACAAGAGGAAATCGCAAAAACTTAAGAGAGAAAGATTGAAATCGAAATTTTCTTGTGGTGAAGAGAGAGAGATGATTTCAGAAAAATAGAGTGTGGGAGAGTGGAGAAGGGGTTCGATCGAGTTATGGGGAAGAGGGAGTGTTTGAGATGTGTGGTTGAGATTAAAAGTGAAATAAAGAGGGACAAGAAGCTAGGGATTTCTGATCAATTAGGGTAGTGGGGGACCAAAATTTGTGGGACCCACTCCCTTGACCAAGAAAACGGTTATGAATTTGAAATTCAAAAACTTACCTCGGTCGAGTTGAGGAACTCGATCGAGTTGCCCTGTTTCTAGCTCGATCGAGCTGTCGGTCGAGCTGGCTCCTTGACACCTAAACTTAACTTATTGAAAGGTTAAAACATAAAATAGATAGAAATTGCATAAATAGAATATGTACAAGGATAAACATGGGACTTCCTCCCAAGTGAGCTTGTTTAAGGTCCCATAGCTTGACCTTTACCTTCTTAGGCATTGGTTGAGCTAGTCCCACCATCAAGGGTGATAGTGAGGACTTGAGACAGAAGCTCCTTTAGCTTGGTTGGGTCCCTGGACTGTTCTGAAGTCACCAAGGCCTTGGCTCTAGAGAATGGCCTTGATCTCCCCTTGTACCTTATCTTGTACTCAATCTTCCCATTTTCAAACTTGGTGGGGAACAAAGTCATTGTGAGCTGAGATGGCTTGAATGAAGGGGCCTGAGCTGGTGGATCCTTTCTTTTATCCCTGGTCTTGCCTTAGAGGCTACATCCTCCCCTTCTTTTAGAGCCCTTCCTAGTGGCTCATCAAACAAAGCTTGAAGGCTCTCTTCATCAAGCACACAAGGGGCTTGAACAAGTCTATCAGCTCGTGGCCTATCAGAACGTGGTTTCTCAACTCTAGCCCTCTCAAGACGTGGCTTCTCAATCCTTGGTCCTCTCTCATCCTTATCCTTCCCAACTCTTGGTTCTTTGTCAACCCTTTCCTTCACAACCTTTGTAGCTCCATGACTCTTAGAACTGAGAGTGGTACTGTCAATTGTGGCACAAAAGTCTGAACCTCTAGGCTGCAAGCGATATGACACCAAACTATTCACCTTGTGAAGGATCACTTCTTGCTTGTGAAAGTCTATTGAAGCGCCAACTGTACTAAGGAAAGGGGTTCCCAATAACAGAGGTAAATCCTTCTCTTCTTCCATTTCCATCACAGTGAGATCAGTTTGGATGATGCATTCTCCAATTTTCAAGTGATAGTTCTTGAACACTCCAAGAGGAGACTTAGAAGTTGCATCTCCAAACATGATTGAAGTAGTAGGGCGCTGCAAGGCTCCAGCAATGCCTAGCTTCTCTGCCATGGAGAGAGAGATCAGATTGATGCTTGCTCCAGAATCCACTAAGGCATTGTCAATCTCAAGATGCCCAAGTGTGCAAGGGAGAGTGAATTTCCCTTGATCCTTGACCTTTGGTAGGAAGGTGGGTGAAGTAAGCAGGTTGAACTGATGAGTAGACTCTTGTAGGACCTCTGAAACTTTATCACTGTTGGCTAGAACATCCTTGACCATTTGCATTTGATCAAATGCCTCACTCATGCTATCCATAGGAGGCAACTCAATTCCAATCCCACTGAGATCTCTTCTGAACTTGTGAATCACTTCCTTGTGCCCTTGACTAAGTAGGCGAGACGAGGAAGTGGCAACCGGTTGGTAAGGATCAAGCAAATTGGTTTTGGACAGAAGAGGTCGGACTCGATCGAGCTAGAGTTCGACTCGATCGAGCTGCCGATCGAGCTTGTTGTGCGAGCTCAACTGGTGAAGTGTGAAGGGCCACAGTAGGTGCCTGCACTTCTGGTTGATCAATCTGGACTCCAGGAGCCTCAGCAGCAACAATCTCTCATCATTCAGTGATATACCTCTATTTTACCTACTTTTTATGCTATTTTACTATGGTTTTCTAATGGTTTTCTAGTGGATTCTTGTGTTAAAAGGTAGTTTTTATGGATTTATAGTGCAAAGAGTCATTTTAGGTAAAAAGGTGCATTATGGAGCAAAACAGGAGATTTGGACTCTAAACCAGTTCAATGCCCCTGCATCAACTTTGGATGGAGCTAGAAAAAGATCTACTCAATGGATTTCATCAAGACCAGTTCCCTGCGTGCTCTGATTGAGTTAACTTTCCAACGCAACTGGAATGGCTTCATTTGGATGAGTAGAAAAGGAGTTATAGCCAAAAGAGTGAAGACTGCTCCAGACGGCCATATCGAGAATCAGCGCCCGAACCGCACAGTCCGGCTGGCCGAGGAACGATGTTCCGCGCTCGGCCAAAACTGTGTCCGTCCGACTGAAGTCTCGGCCAAAGTCCAAACCGCTCGGCCGATCACGCATCACGACCCGGGAAACTTAAGCCCGCGGTCGGCCAAGCCACAACGCCACGCCACAACCGCGCACGACCAAGCGCGCGAGCCGGGAAACGCCTCGCGGCCGCGCAACTCGTCACGTACCACGGCCGATGCTCCGTCCGAGCCGGGGAACTATGCCACGTCCGGCCGAGAAACCATCGGCCAATTCATCCGTCCGACCAGCCGGCCGACGAATCATCCGGCCACGACCGTTCCGACTCGGCCCAAGACCCGACTGTCCGGCCGATCGTCCCGACCGACCGTCCGAACGCCGCGGTCGACCCGAAGCCGTTTTTGAAGCCCAATCCGCACAATTCAAGCCCAAAGCCGGCGCCGACCTAGCTAGATTAGGTTTAGCCGTCTTCTTATACTTAGAGCATTATAAATACTTCTTTTTAGCCTTGTAACTAAAGAAGGAGAGAGACCACAATCTATTTTACATCTTTAATAAAGTTTTGCTTGCTTTTACTTTGTTCTTGCTTGTTACTCTTTCTAGAGAGGATTCGAATCTCTGTTCTTATGAATATGAATTCGTGTTCCTTCTCTATGTCTGAGTAGTTTACTTGTTAAGTGATAGGAAGTCAAAGGATAGCATTCATGTATGCTTGATGATTGATCACAATTAGGGTTTTACTTATAATCTCCATCTTTGCTTATACTTAATGCTTGTTGTTAATCTGGCCAATTAGCATATGCCTTTAGGTTGATTTGAGCCTCGACAGTGCTGTATCATTCGCCTGAACTAGTATTTGGTGGGCAATCTCTTTTAGACTGCGACAGTTGATCTACTTGTAGGTTGTGAACAATTGATCTTGATCGAACTAATGCTTGATTTAATCACCTAGGGACATACCAAAAGTTTAGCGACTAGGTAGATTAACAAAGGGGTCGGAGCCTCGACAGTGGAATGATCATACCATAGTGTTTCAAGTTCTAGATTAGCACCTAAGTGCGGTAACCCTAATTGATTGATTTCATGCTTCTTGAATTGCTTATCTCAAGACTATCCTATTGCTTAGCCTTTCTCTCCTATTGAATTCTTACTTTATTACTTGCATGCTTTACTTTCTCTGCACTCAACCAACTTATACTTTTGCCCTAGCTTGTTCTCAAACTCATAACTTGTAGTGTGCAATCTGGTCCTTGTGTTCGATACCCGTTTACTACTTCTGACCTGTGCACTTGCAGAATCAGGGATAGGAAAGGGGAAGACCTGATCCCGCGATTATTCAGCAGTAAACAAAAATCTTCAATGACCCTCTCTTCATCCTCTTTTTCAACAAGTCCTTCTTGAGTGAAGATGACCTTGCACTGTTCCTTGGGGTTCTGAATAGCTTTACCAGGTAGTTGCCCTTGCTTTGTAGCAGCAGCAACTGAAGAAGCATGATTCTCCAGAGAGTAAACTCTTGTGTTGAGATTCTCGATCTTGGAGTTTATTTCAGCTAGCTTCTTGCTTGTGTCCACTACCCCATCGGCTTGCCCTTGCAGCAGTTGTTTCAGCATTGCCTTGAGCTCATTCTCTTGCGTAGGTGCAGGCTGGGTTGGTTGGTGGGGAAAGCCTGGTGGTATATTCATTTGTTGTCCAGGGAAAGTCCCTTGGGGTCCTTGGTAATTGTTCTTTTGACCATACCCATGTTGTGGCGCTTGACTCGATCGAGCTGCTTGTTGTTGAGGATAGACTTGGTCCTGAGGGTTAGCAACATCAGTGTTTCAGTATGACATGGCAGGGTTGGACTTGTAATTATAGTATCCTTTGTTGTAGCCTCCTTGCCCATTGCTCATGTAACACACCTCAGCAAATTGTGTATCCTCCCCTTCTTCGACCTCTTCCATCTCTTCAGCAGACACAAAGTTGACCTTCTTCATAGTGGACTGAGCTAAGACCAGCTTATCCAACTTCTCATTCAATGCCTTAACATCTTTTCTCAACTTCTCGTCTGACTCGATCTAGTGATGGGTCGAGCTCTGATTGGTGCGATCATACTCTTCTCCATAGCTTCCATTTGAGTTTGCTATGTTTCCACGAGTTGCCAGCCATCATCTACATCCTGGTTGAGGAAGTTCCCATTGCTAGCTGTGTCTAGCATCTCCCTATACCTTGCCAAGCAACCTCTATAAAGAGTGGAGAGTAGTGATTCATTATTGAATCCATGATGTGGGCACTAACTTGTGTACCCTTTGAACCCCTCCCAAGCCTCAGCAAAAGTCTCGTTCTTCCTCTGTATGAAACTCGAGATCTCACTTCTTAGCTTGGCTGTGCGACCGGTGGAGAAAAACTTAGCAAGAAAGGCCTTCTTGCATTCATCCCAAGTGGTGATTGTGCCATGGGGCAAGCTCTTCTCCCATTGGTGAGCCTTGTAAGAAAGAGACATAGGGAAGAGTCTCAACTTGATGGCATCCTCAGGTTCCTCTTGTACCCTTTGTGAACTCTGAACCCTCTTTCTACCCGTTGTAAAGTCTAGCTCGACCAAGTCCTCTGTAGACCGACTCGATCGAGTTCGCATACACCTGCAAAAAGAGACAAAAACCCAGCAGTACAATAGAACAGGGGTGGTATAGCTTGATCGTCTAGCTAACCCTTTCCCAAGGTGAAAGCTATCAACCAAGACTTGATCTCAGAAACAGGGGGTTAGCCAGTGAGAATCAAGCCTTGGAGGCCATAGGATCATTGCTCAAACTAATCCATCCAACCCCTATGAACTCCATATTCTAGAGCAAGAGTTATTGGAGCTCTTAGTGGACCTTTTCCAACGATTTCCATCACTTCCATGTGGAGAATCGCCTATGGACATACAAGCCAGGGATAGTGGTCATGTAGCCTTAAGGTTTGTCCAAAAGAGAGAGATTTCTAGATTAAGAACATAAGCAAGAAGGATTAAGCATAGAAATCCCCTAATCTATCCCATCTTTGACCCTAAGGGAAACTACTCACTACACATGAATGTAAACACAAGCAAATGCAATAAAAGAGACATCATAAGAAAGAGGAGATGAAATAAACAACTTTTATTGAAATAAGCAAGTGCAAATACAAAGAGATTATCCAGGATCTAGGATTCAAGAAGCAAGAGCTTCAAGAACACAAAGATGGGATTAGAGCTCTCAAAAGTAAAGACAATAATTAAAAAGAAACTAAAACAAAAGTAATCTAAAGCTTGGTGGTTTTTTCGTGGCTTTTAGCCCTTAAATACAAAGAGGATTAGGTTTAGGGTCAAAGGAAAGTCAAGGGGGAAGCAACATTTTTCGGGTTTGACTGTTGACTTCTCAGCTCGATCGAGTTGAAGCTTGGCCGGTCGAGTTGAGGAACTCGACCGGTTGGTCGAGTGATGGTCGAGCTGGTCTTCAAGATGGCTTCCTCCTTCTTCCTTTGCGTATCCAGTTGAGCTGCGTCCATGCGCCAAGTCCCTTCCATGCTCCTCATGTCCCATATGCTCCAGAATGCTCCAAAAGACCTATTTCAAAGGACCAAACATGCATATGTATGCAAATGCAACCTAAAACTACTATGAATGCATAAGAAGAGAAAAGGAACAAGATATGATGCTAAATGGATGCTAAAACTATGCAAAAGATGCATAAAAGATGTACTAAAACTATGCAAAATGCAAGTACATCAAAGGGTGATTTCAGAAAATTTAGGTGTGGGAGAGTGAGAGGTGGATTCGATCGAGTTATGGGGAAGAGGGAGTGTTTGAGATGTGTGGTTGAGATTAAAAGGTGAAATAAAGGGGGACAAAAGCTAGGGTTTTTCTGATCAATTAGGGTAGTGGGGGACCAAAATCAGCTTGTGGGACCCACTCCCTTGACCAAGAAAACGGTTATGAATTTGAAATTCAAAAACTTACCTTGGTCGAGTTGTGGAACTCGATCGAGTTGCCCTGTTTCTAGCTCGATCGAGCTGTCGAGCTTCTTTGTCACCTAAACTTAACTTATTGAAAGGTTAAAACACAAAATAGATAGAAATTGCATAAATAGAATATGTACAAGGATAAACATGGGACTTCCTCCCAAGTGAGCTTGTTTAAGGTCCCATAGCTTGACCTTTACCTTCTTAGGCATTGGTTGAGCTAGTCCCACCATCAAGGGTGATAGTGAGGACTTGAGACAGAAGCTCCTTTAGCTTGGTTGGGTCCCTGGACTGTTCTGAAGTCACCAAGGCCTTGGCTCTAGAGAATGGCCTTGATCTCCCCTTGTACCTTATCTTGTACTCAATCTTCCCATTTTCAAACTTGGTGGGGAACAAAGTCATTGTGAGCTGAGATGGCTTGATGAAGGGGCCTGAGCTGGTGGATCCTTTCTTTTATCCCTGGTCTTGCCTTAGAGGCTACATCCTCCCCTTCTTTTAGAGCCCTTCCTAGTGGCTCATCAAACAAAGCTTGAAGGCTCTCTTCATCAAGCACACAAGGGGCTTGAACAAGTCTATCAGCTCGTGGCCTATCAGATCGTGGTTTCTCAACTCTAGCCCTCTCAAGACGTGGCTTCTCAATCCTTGGTCCTCTCTCAACCTTATCCTTCCCAACTCTTGGTTCTTTGTCAACCCTTTCCTTCACAACCTTTGTAGCTCCATGACTCTTAGAACTGAGAGTGGTACTGTCAATTGTGGCACAAAAGTCTGAACCTCTAGGCTGCAAGCGATATGACACCAAACTATTCACCTTGTGAAGGATCACTTCTTGCTTGTGAAAGTCTATTGAAGCGCCAACTGTACTAAGGAAAGGGGTTCCCAATAACAGAGGTAGATCCTTCTCTTCTTCCATTTCCATCACAGTGAGATCAGTTTGGATGATGCATTCTCCAATTTTCAAGTGATAGTTCTTGAACACTCCAAGAGGAGACTTAGAAGTTGCATCTCCAAACATGATTGAAGTAGTAGGGCGCTGCAAGGCTCCAGCAATGCCTAGCTTCTCTGCCATGGAGAGAGAGATCAGATTGATGCTTGCTCCAGAATCCACTAAGGCATTGTCAAGCTCAAGATGCCCAAGTGTGCAAGGGAGAGTGAATTTCCCTTGATCCTTGACCTTTGGTAGGAAGGTGGGTGAAGTAAGCAGGTTGAACTGATGAGTAGACTCTTCAGGACCTCTGAAACTTTATCACTGTTGGCTAGAACATCCTTGACCATTTGCATTTGATCAAATGCCTCACTCATGCTATCCATAGGAGGCAACTCAATTCCAATCCCACTGAGATCTCTTCTGAACTTGTGAATCACTTCCTTGTGACCTTGACTAAGTAGGCGAGACGAGGAAGCGGCAACCGGTTGGTAAGGATCAAGCAAAATGGTTTGGACAGAAGAGGTCGGACTCGATCGAGCTAGAGTTCGACTCGATCGAGCTGCCGATCGAGCTTGTTGTGCGAGCTCAACTGGTGAAGTGTGAATGGCCACAGTAGGTGCCTGCACTTCTGGTTGATCAATCTGGACTCCAGGAGCCTCAGCAGCAACAATCTCTTCATCATTCAGCAGTAAACAAAAATCTTCAATGACCCTTTCTTGATCCTCTTCTTCAACAAGTCCTTCTTGAGTGAAGATGACCTTGCACTGTTCCTTGGGGTTCTGAATAGCTTTACCAGGTAGTTGTCCTTGCTTTGTAGCAGCAGCAACAGAAGAAGCATGATTCTCCAGAGAGTAAACCCTTGTGTTGAGATTCTCGATCTTGGAGTTTATTTCAGCTAGCTTCTTGCTTGTGTCCACTACCCATCAGCTTGCCCTTGAAGTAGTTGTTTAGCATTGCCTTGAGCTCATTCTCTTGTGAGGTGCAGGCTGGGGTGGTTGGTGGGGAAAGCCTGGTGGATATTCATTTGTTGTCCAGGGAAAGTCCTTGGGTCCTTGGTAATTGTTCTTTTGACCATACCCATGTTGTGGCTTGACTCGATCGAGCTGCTTGTTGTTGAGGATAGACTTGGTCCTGAGGGTTAGCAACATCAGTGTTGCGGTATGACATGGCAGGGTTGGACTTGTAATTATAGTATCCTTTGTTGTAACCTCCTTGCCCATTGCTCATGTAGCACACCTCAGCAAATTGTGTATCCTCCCCTTCTTGGACTGGTTCCATCTCCTCAGCAGACACAAAGTTGACTTTCTTCATTGTGGACTGAGCTAGGATCAGCTTATCCAACTTCTCATTCAATGCCTTAACATCTTTTCTCAACTTTTCGTCTGACTCGATCGAGTGGTGGGTCGAGCTCCGATTGGTGCGATCATACTCTTCTCCATAGCTTCCATTTGAGTTAGCTATGTTCTCCACAAGTTGCCAGCCATCATCTACATCCTGGTTGAGGAAGTTCCCATTGCTAGCTGTGTCTAGCATCTCCCTATACCTAGGCAAGCATCCTCTATAAAGAGTGGAGAGTAGTGATTCATTGTTGAATCCATGGTGTGGGCACTGACTTGTGTAGCCTTTGAACCTCTCCCAAGCCTCTGCGAATGTCTCATTGTTTCGCTGGATGAAGCTGGATATCTCTCCTCTAAGCTTGGCTGTGCGACCGGTGGAGAAAAACTTAGCAAGAAAGGCCTTCTTGCATTCATCCCAAGTGGTGATTGTGCCATGGGGCAAGCTCTTCTCCCATTGGTGAGCTTTGTCAGCTAGAGACATAGGAAAGAGTCTCAGCTTGATGGCATCTTCAGAGACACCATTGATCTTTGTCAAATCACAAAGCCTATCAAACTCATCAAGGTGGTCAATGGGGTCTTCACTTGGCAATCCATGGAACATCTTGTTCTGACAAGGTTGATCATTCCCAGCTTGATCTCAAAGTTGTGGTTCTGCACTGGTGGTGGAACAATCCCTTGTCTCTGTTGGTGGCGGTTTGGAGCATCTCCTTGACCAATCGGTCGAGTTTGCCTAGCTCGACCGAGTCCATTGCCCAAAGGGTTTCCATTCCCCTCTGGTACATCCATTGTATCAGCAACAAGCACCTCAGGTTCCTCTTGTACCCTCTGTGACCTCTGAACCCTCTTTCTACCCGTTGTAAAGTCTAGCTCGACCAAGTCTCTGTAGACCGACTCGATCGAGTTCGCATACACCTGCAAAAAGAGACAAAAACCCAGCAGTACAATAGAACAGGGGTGGTATAGCTTGATCGTCCAAGTGTATTTGAAACTCAAATGCAACAAAAATATCCCAAATCGGCAACGGCGCCAAATTGATGATAGGATTTGTGTGTGGTGTGAAATGATATGAAATGAGATGTGGTGGAATGCAACAGTGGTAATGATGAGGTGGTAAGATGCAAACACAAACACAGTCAACAATTCCCTTTAACCATCATAGTTGTTATAGTAAAGGGTTATCAATCCAAAATGGGAAACTTGTCACTCTATGAGAATATGAAAAACAAGGAAGTCAAGCAAGCAGTAATAGATTTGGTAACACTAACAACCTAAAAAATGAAATGCAATGCAATAAAAGTAAAAAAGCAGTAAGCAACAGCTCGACCAAGGACTCGAGTCGAGTGGAACAGAGTACCAGCTCGATCGAGTTTAGGGTCGAGTTGAGAAAAAGCAATAAAGGCAGCGACTTTAACAAGCTAATGAGAATTAGGGTTCAAGACAGGGTTTTGCAATCAGGAAGCTACACTTAATCAATCTGCTCTTAAAACTCCTTGTATCAAGGCTTCTCTTGATATTGGGCTTCTCAATGCCTAGCCAACCCTTTCCCAAGGTGGAGGCTATCAACCAAGGAATGATCTCAGAAACAGGGGGTTAGCCAGTGAGAATCAAACCTTGGAGGCCATAGGATCATTGCCCAAACTAATCCATCCAACCCCTTAGACCTCATTTAGAGCAAGAGATATTGGAGCTCTTAGTGGATCTTTTCCAGCGATTTCCATCACTTCCATGTGGAGAATCGCCTAAGGACTACAAGCCAGGGGTAGTGGTCATGTAGCCTTAAGATTATCCAAAAGAGAGAGAATCTAGATTAAGACCATAAGCAAGAAGGATTAAGCATATGAAACCTCTAATCTATCCCATCTCAAACCCTAATGGGTAACTACTCACTACACATGAATGTAAACACAAGCAAATGCAATGAAAAGAGACATCATAAGAAAGAGGAGATGAAAGATAAACAACTTTTATTGAAATAAGCAAGTGCAAATACAAAGAGATTATCCAGGATCTAGGATTCAAGAAGCAAGAGCTTCAAGAACACAAAGATGGGATTAGAGCTCTAAAAAGTAAAAGACAATAATTAAAAGAAACTAAAACAAAAAGTAATCTAAAGCTTGGTGGTTTTTTCGTGGCTTAGAGCCTTTAAATACAAGAGGATTAGGTTTAGGGTCAAAGGAAAGTCAAGGGGGAAGCAACATTTTTCGGGTTTGACTTTGACTTCTCAGCTCGATCGAGTTGAAGCTTGGCCGGTCGAGTTGAGGATGGTCGAGCTGGTCTTCAAGATGGCTTCCTCCTTCTTCCTTTGCGTATCCAGTTGAGCTGCGTCCATGCCAAGTCCCTCCATGCTCCTCACGTCCCATATGCTCCAGAATGCTCCAAAAGACCTATTTCAAAGGACCAAACATGCATATGTATGCAAATGCAACCTAAAACTACTATGAATGCATAAGAAGAGAAAAGGAACAAGATATGATGCTAATGGATGCTAAAACTATGCAAAAGATGCATAAAAGATGTACTAAAACTATGCAAAATGCAAGTACATCACCGCCCAAGGCCGCCCAAGAGAATCACCAGACCACACTCAAGGTCACGATGAGACAAGTACCAAAAGACTATGTCTCAGGCCGTGCCCTTACCCCATCTCTAACTAAGAGATCCTATCAGTCAAGCTAATCACTCAAAACAAGCGCTGCATGGGAGGCAACCTATGAAATGTGTTTTTCTTATCTTTTCTTTTCAATTAGTTTTAGTTAATGTCTAGTTTTGTTTTGAGATTTGGATACAGGAACCTAAGAACCACACAATGATAAAGAAGATATACCACAAGGAAGAATGCTCATAGTTGGCGCGACCTTGATGGCCGAGCAGAACCTCTCCACGCTTGCCCATGTCCTCTCAAGTCGCCCAACACACCAGTCCATCTCATTCCATCTGCATCTCGCCCATCCCACCTACCACACTTGCATTCATCTACCTCCATAATTCCACTGCATACACCATTCTTCAATTCATAAACCAAATCAGGTTACATCTTTCTTTTTACATTCACAATCGCCTTATTACCTCTTTCTTTAATCCCTTAACTATATCTTAACCCGTGCTTGGAAGCACGGGATGTTGTAATTTTTTAAAGGAAAATTTAAATTATTGACACTTCGCTTCCGTATATCATATTAGTGTATGTTTTTGATATATATTGACACTTCGCTTCCGTAAACCACAATTAGACCTAGAGTTGGGAAGCATGGAATGTTGTGATTTTTATATATATTGACACTTCGCTTCCGTAAACCGCAATTAGACCTAGACATGGGAAGCACGAGATGTTATAAATTATGTAAAGTGTTTGTCATATATGTTGAGGAATTAGTGTTATTGTTATTATATATGTATCTAATGTTAGCCGTTACCGCTATCTATCTCGGAGATGAGTGAAGAAAATAAAACCGGTTTCAATGACCGAACAGTATAACATTTATATGTGTCGATTTGCACGACGGTGTCAGGATTTACCTGGTGAGTTATAATGTAAAAAAAATTTGGCATTTGACATTCCGTTTTTTTTTATTACCATTTCTTCAAAAAGTAAATTTATATTGTCTTTATATGGTTTTTTTCGGTGATATGTTGTCTATTAGTTAGTACACCAAATTTGATTGTATTTTATTATTATGTTTTTTTTTAATTTATTAATTTATTTTTTTTGAAATCGAATTCCTTCGATCCTGGTTAACCGATGTGATCAGTTTGCTTCGATCCTGGTTTGCTTCATGAGATCACTTTGCTTCGATCCTGGTTAACCGACAATGCTTAATTTTAGATTTTTCAGAAACACTGTCGTTTCTTCTGTCTCTCATTCTTGTCTTCCGATCTTCATCTTCAAGGTCCGAAACCAGTTTCTTTTGGTTCTGAGCCCGTGATTCAACAGCTTATAGTTGCTAAATGTCTTCGATTCTCCTCCGCTCTTCTCATACGCCTCCAGAATAGTCGATTTCTACTCGCGACAGCCTTTGGACATCGAACTTTAGCTCAGGTAAATCCCGAATCTCAAGAGATTTCCTTTGCGCACAAATCTCAGCATTTTATCTTCGTTGCGAAATCAAATAGCCATTTCCGTTGATTTGGTGATAACTCAATTGATAGGACAGCGAATTAATAGTAATTGGATTCCTATTGATATTGATTCTTTTTTTTGGTCGTATATTGATAATGATTCTAGTTATGATTCGGAACCCACCAAACATCCATAACCCGTCTGTGATCTGTTTTAAAATTATCGGACATAAACTGAATGTTAATTTGAGTCCGTATTGGAAACCATCTATATTAATGTCAAGCATGAAATCAATTTAAGATTTGGTGACACATTTTTTTTTTGTCAAGGAGACATAGGGGCGTTTCCCGTGATCATCGATGCAGAGGATATTGCACGGAAACATTGATCCTCGATTCCATTAAACGTCACTCCAAAATAGTAAGGTAAACATTCTTTGCTTCCCGATAGGGTTCTAGAAAATTTGATTTCAATGTTGGTTTAGACAGCTGGTTGTCAATTGTTTGTGTAATGAATTCTTTGTGTTGATAATGACATAGACTATGAGATAAAAGCGGTATGTCATTAAATAGAAACATAGGTTATATCACAACATAAAGTAAACATTGTGCATTAAACTGAAACATCTTCGGAAATTTTCGTAGACAGTCCACTATGCAGATCACTTTTTATTGTCGCTTTTACAACCGTTAAAGTAATCGAATTCCATTTCTTGTTCTTCCACTTCCTCGCTGTCTTGATCAGAAGAGCACCTGCAGAAACGAATTTACTTGTAGTAGGCTATAATATGAAAGGTTTGATCTTTTAGAATCTACATATTAGATAATGTCATAGGTAGAATTCTTACATTTATCCGTGAAGTAATCAACCTCATCGATTCCAATAGGATTGAATTCAAATGTAGAGATTCCTTCTTCACTTCCGACATGAACAGGATCTAGACATATACGTTATAACATCAAGTCACAATAAATATAAAAAACTTGTATTAGTCAAGGGAGGAAGCTTCTTTTAAAATAAATTTCTATATACTAACCGTCTATCCCAAGAATCCGCCAATCAGTTAAGAGACATACTATGGTCTCCGTTTTACCATAGTAGAGCCAAAATCGTAAAAATTTAGCTCTAAGGCCGCCCTTTGCACGGCAAAGTATTCGAACCCCACTAAAGAAATGGAAAATTGTTCAAGTATATAGAATCATAATTCAGAAACTGTAAATATGTTAAGAAACTTAAGGGTCTTATAGATATACGTACTCGTTATCCTGGAGGGTGAAATCTATCGAGTTAGTGATTTTTGGAGCATCGTTTAGTGTGTTCCTAGGAATAGAGTCATCTTCCGTGAGCTTGGTGATCTTCACTTCATATATAAACCCTAGAAAATCTACAAAAAGAACACATAGATAAAGTTAATATATTGAAACCACATTCCTTACAGGGATCTTTGACTAACGAAACGAAAATGAGAAGTAAGAAAAAGTAACCTCTGGTAAAAGAAGATTGAACATTAGAACTGTAGTCTAAGACATATTCATAAGGCAGAATGTCTAGGTGAACAAAAACATCGAAATCCGCTGCAGGTGTGACTTCGGTGTTGGACGTTAGAGCAATCTTCTTTCTTGCTTCTGTCAATCGGAACTCTGTATCCACCATAATAACTGAAAATCCGGTTAGAATCTTGCATTCCCCTTCATGAAGACATCTCTTAAACCTATTCATCTGATTTGCTTGTTCAACGAATGCTTGCATCTTTGTGCCCTGACATTGGTTATAAACTTCCATTAGGACAAAACTTTTGTGTCAAAAATCTGTTTTATATGAGATTATTTGTAAAGACTGAAAACAAACCTGATTGTCAACAAAAAGAAAACTTAGGCCTTCCCCCTGATCTGCCTCCAACGTATCCCACATCTTAGAAACTCTAACCAAAACACTCGAATCATCTTTGTTAGGTGAGACATCGTCAAGTTTCTTGAAGTTTGCCATTGAAATTCTGTTTTGAGATTTAGAGTACTTTGTTTTCTTCTCTTAACCCTAACTTCGGAGAGGAATCTGCGTATATATAGGAATAAAATCAGGGTAGAGAGTAGATCCCGTCGGTTGATATTAAACGACGTGATGGTCAAGCTTTTTTCCTTTTCTTTTTATTTTTTTGCAAAATTTTCGTATCTATTGGTAACTATGGCTATTTTCCTTTTCAGTTTAGCGATAAAATCCCGGATTTGGCGTTACAGTTAATATTGTTCGTGAATATTCTTTTAACTATTACTTAGTTGGAAAAACAATCTATCCACTATGGTTATTTACGAAACCAACATTCCAATATTATGAGGATCTGACCAGAGAGTTTATATTTCAGTTACTTCCTCCGTAATTATCTACTGACATGTAAATTATTTTGATTACATGTATATTTCCTTTGAGGTTTTGTATTCGTGAATATTCTTTTAACTACTACTTAGTCCGCAAATCTTGAATAAGTAGACAGAAGTTTTATTATTAGATAGATATGCGAGTAAAACATGGTGAGTAGATAGTTCATAAAAACTTCTCAAGCAAACAAACAGAAACAATATTAAGTTGAAAAACAAATGTGGCAACACAAATTTCGATATTAAGGATCACATAGTAGAATTTCATGGAGATAGTACAACCACCTCCTCAACGGAACCATCACTGTCATTGAAGCTGCAAGAAATTTGTTTATCATCATTTGTATTAGTAAATATTGAATGTTTTTGAGAACTAATGTCTGTAAGGATTGAAGATAATAGATATCTAACTTACTATTCAGCGCTGAAGTCATAAACATCCTGATAGTTAGCATTGAACTGAAATCTAGATATTCCTCCAGCGTCCTTAATCTTGAGCTCTCCGGTTCCTATGATTTGTTTCAATTAGTGGTTGAATATAAGAAATAGATACACTCGTAAAATAATTCATTAGACTAAAGTTTCATACTTTGTTCTAGGTAAACCATCCAGTCACTCATTGTAATGAATGTTTCTGTTGAACCATGCCTCCACCATTTATCATGTATTTGAACAGCCAAGACTCCATAAGCTTTGCATTCCATTGTTACTCCACTATGATCCCCAACATGAAAATGACGATTACATTAGTCAGATATAAAGAAAAAGTCATAACAGGTTTATATTTTTAAATCCGAAAAAACAGAGCTTGCTTAACTTACTCTAAGCCTTTGATGGTGAACATAACTCTGGAAGTCTTCTTGTTATTAGCTAGTGTAAAGTTGTGGTCTTTCACAACTTTAAGCTCATCAACGTCATCTAGATAGCCTATAAGGTCTAAGGGTTTTGGATAGAGTTGTCAAAGGATTCGTTATTAATTCAACAAACGGACTACAAATATAAGGAGATCAAAAAATATGTTGTATATTTCATTGACCAGCCACAAGATATTTATTGACTTACCAAGAGGATGATGAGAGTTGTACACGCAATTCTTTATGCCTGTGTAGTCCTTGAAATTCATATAGTCCTCTTGATGAATACCAATTTCTGCATGCAGAGTCCGTATTCTCGGTGAAGACGATTGTATGTTGATTTTCGGAGAAAAGCTCCTCAGGTGGTGTTAGCTGGACGACGAATCCGGAGATTAGTTTCCAGTGGCCCTCGTGCACATTCAAGTCGAAATGGTCATATAGGCCATCCTCGGAACTAACTTTAGCAGGTATTTTTCCATCCTTGAAGTTTTTTCAGACACATGATTTAAAAACTCTGTTAGCCTCAGTTACTAAATCAGTTTTGACTAATAAATTAAAATCTACAATTGTTATGAGATGATACATGATCGAGAAACTTACATGTTCATCAACTAACTGAAAACGCAATATTTCTCCACCACCATCTATCATCTCGGTCCACTTCTTCAAGACCTTCACTCTTATTATCCAATCGTCTCTCTGAGGAGATAGCTCCACAACCCTAGAAATATTTGCCATATCTAATAGATATACGGTGCTTGTGTTGAATAGGTTTCATTGTGTTTCTTGTATTTATAGGCAAATCAATCATCCCGTGTTATATTTATTTTCCTTTTATTACACCTGCAATGAAATGGAAACTATATATTTTTCTAAATAAATTAACATTGATTGATGGTTGTGCAGATTTGTCTTCTCAATGGAAAAAGGAAAAGCTGAACTTCTGATACAGATATCTTCACACGCAAAGGTATGTTTCCTTTCACATTTCTTGAAATTTGAGGCATTTACTGAACACTATCTAATCTCATTAGACAATTGGTTATGATCTGTGCATATCACAACCTTAGGAATCTATCTAAGACTTGATGTATAAAATTAGAATAGATGAAACCGGCCCAAAATATAGTTAGCCCACTAAGGGAAGATTTGAAATATTGATTTCATTAATCTCATCGTAATTTTAATTTTACTTAAGGTAAATTTACTTTTCGTGTTTGATCCACATAATTGAGAGTAAGAATCGTATTCATAGGCTCATAATGCAACAATTGTACAATTCATTAACACAACTTATATCTTATTTTGCAATTACCAAATTGTAGGATATCAATTAACTTATAAAAACTAAAATAATTTTATATCCTAGTAAGATTGAATATGATCCGTGAATTGCATTATTGTGGAACCAATAGGTTACCATATGACTCAATGTAAATAATGAGTTCAACAATGTATTAGAAATGGAATCTAGAAGATCATATAGAAGTAGAATGATTAGAGGTTCTTGAAAACCTCTTTGAAAACAACATTGGTTGTTCTCCTCTGCGGCTTCCCTTCGCTGTCGACGATCAAGATCTTCAATCCCTTCTTGGAGGTTACCCTGGAAATTGCGACGTAAAGCTGTCCATGAGAGAAAACAGGCCTTGGCAAGAATATCCCAACCTGTGATAGAGACTGACCCTGGCTCTTGTTGATAGTTATTGCGAATGCAACAGCTAAAGGAAGTTGTCTTCTCCTCATCTTGAAAGGAAGTATGGTGTCCGATGGAGTAATCAAAAGCCTAGGAATAATAACCTTCACACCGACCTTATCTCCTGTTATAACTTTAGCTTCAATCATAAAATCAGCTAATTGAGTTATCTGCAACCTCGTTCCGTTCATTAGACCTCCTATGGGATCAATATTTCTGAGCAACATAACTGGACAGCCAACCTTCAGTCGCAAAGCGTGATTAGGTAAACCAGCTACTCTTATGCTGTTTAGGAATTCCGTGCTTAGAGCCTCGTCGTTAATAGCGGCTGTGTCACAAGGATCTATTGTATCAGAGCTTAGATAGATTCTCTCCTCCCCTGGAAAAACGACATTTAAAACGTTCTAATCATATACCTTCATTAGCAAGCAACTCAATTTGTGAATTATCCAACTGAAAAAAAGAGACTAACCATTCAGCTTATCGAGCATGTATTCATTGATCATGTTGACATCTTCGTTAGTGGGACAGAGAATAGCTCTGCCTTGGAAAAATAAGGGATCTGTATTGTCCTGTAGATCAGAAGCATCTCCATATATTTCTCTGCTTATGGCTTCGATAGGTTCCTCTGCATCAGTTATTAAAAACTCTTCCGGAATATCTATTTCAGCTTCTCCATCGTTAGGTTCTTCTATCTTACCATCCCCAACATCAAGAATCCAATTAGAAAAATTCTTTAGATCAGTTGCTTCTTCTGCGGTCAGGTTGTCAGATAGTAATCGCATATTTTTTGTTAGCTTGAGAACCTTGCAGTGCTTCCAAAGATAAGATGAGTTCAGAGCAGAGCATACAACTTCTGCTCTATCGGCTCCAGGAATCACAGGAAGAACCTGTCGAAAATCACCTCCAAATACAATAACCTTTCCACCAAAAGGTTTGCCATCTTCATTACCAACAATATCAGCAGTGAGCGATCCAAAGACTCAAAACAATGCTTATGCATCATCGGAGCTTCATCCCATATAATCAGAGAAGCTTCTTTCACCAGGTTTGCGAGATCTCCACCTTTTTCCATGTGGCATGTTGATGTTTCATGAGGATTTATTGGTATTCCAAACCTGGAATGAGCCGTTCTCCCTCCTTGTAACAAAAGACTTGCTATACCGCTCGAAGCAACGTTGAGAACTATCTCTCCACGACATCTTATTGCCGATGACAATATTTTCCATAGAAAAGTTTTTCCTGTTCCACCGAATCCAAATAGAAAAAACACACCTCCAGTTCTCTCTAAAACAGCACCATCAATCTCGTCATACACTTTCTTCTGTTCATCGGTTAGCTTTGGCAAATCTCTATCGTGATTCTCTTTATGTTCTTTCTGATTGTAGCTTCGCTCGTCGACGATTAAAACATTATCCTCTCTTACAACACTTCTTCGTGGCTTCGGCATTGCTTTAAAACGTGAGAAATCTCCACCGTTCCTTTTTAATATGTTTTCAATCTCTTGCAAACACAATTCTCTGCGGTCTTCATCACTCAATATATATTCTGAAACATTCATCACCATTAGAGCCTCTATGTAATATAGTTTTCAAAAATAAAAATGCGTTTATTATATACCTGGTCTATTGATGCGGAGTCAGGTTTTACCAAACTCCTAGACCTCTGCAAGTGCACAGATCGCGGAAGTATGGGTATCGAACACAAGGACTGGCTATTGAGTACACTTTGAAACTATGGATTTTGGATCAAGCTAAAACAAAAGTATGATTGAGGTTGTAATGGTGAACCGAACTAGCAAGTATAACGAGGTTGTAAACAATAAAGGAAAAGCGCTAGGTCATAGGGGCTATCGCAGAGAAGCAAGCAATGATCAATGAAACAATGATAGATTAATTGATTAGGGATATTGGGATATTAAGAACCATCTAGAACACAGATCACGAATATAAAACCATTCCACTTTCGAGGCTCCGGCTCCTTTGTTAATCTACCTAGTCGCTAAACTTTTGGTATGTCCCTAGGTGATTAAATCAAGCTTTAGAATGAATAGGTTCTGATACAGTTCACTAGATATAGTAGATCAACTTTCGCAGTCTAAGAAACCTAGCTTGTCAAAGAATATGTCCGGCGAATGATACAACACTGTCGAGGCTCAAATCAACCTAAGATCGGATTACTAGATGCGCGGTAAAGCAATCAGCATTAGTTAAGTGCACAAGACGAGACAAAGACTCTAATATAATCCCTAGCTAATCATTGAAATCAAAGATCATGCAAGCAACTCATTGAATAGTAACCCTAGCAACCTAACTAGTGGATTACTCAGACATGATCAAAGCAAACACACATAGAGATGAAGAAAACATGATTGCAATAAAACTTAGAGTAGGAAATCGAAATACAAGGGCGGCTCTCTTTTCAAGAGGCTAAAAAGCTATATATATAGTGCTAGGTCTTTTAGAGGCGGCTTAGGGTTAAGCCGGGCTTGAAAATATAAGTGGGCTTCAAAACGGGCTTCGGGTCGACCGCGGCGTTGGACGGTCGGTCGGGACGATCGGCCGGACATCGGGTCATGTGGCGAGTCGGAACGGTCGGGCCGGACGGATGCGTGGTCGGCCGCTGTGGTCGGACGGATGAATTGGCCGATGAAATTCTCGGCCGGACGCGGGACGTAGTTTCCCGGCTCGGACGGCGCATCGGCCGTGGTACGCGAGAGTTGCGCGGCCGCGAGGCGTTCTCCCGGCTCGCGCGCTGGTCGTGCGCGGTCGTGGCGTGGCGTGGCCGACCGCGGGCAATGTTTCCCGGGTCGTGATTGCGTCGGCCGAACGGTTTGGACTTTGGCCGAGACTTCAGACGGACGGACGAGATTTGGCCGAGCGTGAACATTCGTTCCTCGGCCAGCCGGACTGCGCGGTTGGGCGCTGATTCTCGATAGAGCCGTCTGGACAGTCTTCACTCTTTTGGTTGTAACTCCTTTTCTACTCATCCAAATTAGGCCGTTCCAGTTGCGTTGGAAAGTTAACTCAATCAGAGCACGCAGGGAACTGGTCTTGATGAAATCCATTGAGTAGATCTTTTTCTGGGCCCTCTTAAAGTTGGTGCTTGTGCATGGAGCGGCTTGAAGTGCAAATCCTATGGTTTTGCTCCAAAATGCATCATTTCACCTGTTTAGACTCTAGACACTATAAACACAGTAAAACTACCTTTTTAGATAGAAAACCTGCCAAAAACCATTAGAAAACAATGCTAAAACAGTATAAAAAGTGTAAAATAGAGGTATATCAACTCCCCCAGACTTAGATCTTTGCTTGTCCCCAAGCAAAAAGAATCTAAATCCGTGAAAGAGGTTTGAAAACGTGGAAGCTCCCTTGCTCTTTTGAATATCCTGTGAAAGGTTCCTTTCCTGTATTCCACTAAGAACATAGACAACATAAGGTTAGCTTCACATACACCCTGCAAGTTTAGCGAACAATACCAACCCAACTAGTCTCATCCAGCAATCCAAACTCTCTATTGCTAACCTCTTGCATAAATTTAAAGCGTGAATTCTTTATCAAGGGGACATCGATCAATTGAACTTGTTCTTACCCACTTGATCTTCTCCAAGATTGTCTTTAAGTGCAATGAGTTCTTTTCCTCTCTCTTTCTCACATCAGAACTTTGAAAGGTCAATTTCTCCCTACTTTTCTAGGGTATCATTTTATTTTTTCTATTGACCCTTCTTTCAACCACAGGATAAGTCTTTAGCTTGTTCCTTGTTTGACTAAGGTATTCCATAAGACATGAAGGTACAGACATATGCATTCCTCATGCTTACTTGTTTTCCTTGTGCTCTTTGAGCTTTTTCTCATAAATATTACTTACCATTTGGGATGGGAGAGAGAGGAGAACTCTTTAAAGATTAGACAAATCTTATTGAAAATCAAGCAAGGAACTGTCGACATGTATGCCAATCCCCTTGACAAGAGTATTAAGATTGATTAAGGGTGAGGTTAACTCTAGATTGCTTGGTTACCTTAGAAATTTTGCTGAGCTAGCATGTCGATCCACTGTAAGAGCTTCTGTTAGGCTTGTGCCTTTAGCTGGTTTCTGCTCTAGGGTCATGGATTGTTAGCATAACACTCTCAATTCTCAAAGCAAGTTCATAACTTCCGGACTGGTTTTTGACTCAATAAAACTTTTTGAAAAACATGAAACAAAGTGAATAAAACATAAGAAAAGAAAGAAAAATGCATTAGTAACACAATAAAACTCCCCCCAGACTTAACTTGCACCGTCCCGGTGAAAGCAAATCACATTAAGGTGAGAGGTAATATTCAAAGTAAAAGAAAAATAAAGAAAAATTCATTAAAATGAGATAGGGATAGAAAATGGAGATTTGTAAGTGTCCATTGCACTAAGTACCACTTGAGATGACTATGTGTGGCAGTGAGAAGAACTCTCTTCCTCATCTATGGGGTCATCGCCTTCTGAACCAAGCTCTGAGTCTAGTGAGAACTCACCAAGGTCAGGCTCATATGGCTCTCTAGCGGTGGAAGAAGGGCGAAAGAGTCTCTCCGGTGCAATGTGGCGAACTACACGAACTAGGCGTGAGATGAAGCGAGATTGGCATTCCACGATCTTCTCCAGCTTGTTAACACGGTCTAGAGCTTGGTGCGCGGCCATGCCAGTAGTGAGAACATGGCGTTCTTGGTGGCGGCGTTGAGTCTTGACTGCATGCTGAAGTGTGCGATAGGTGAGCATGGGGAATGATGGTTTCTCACTTGATGGAACATAGAAGTCTTCCTCATTGGGCTGGAAAGTGACAACACCTGAGCGTAGGCTTGGGATGTCTTCATGTGGCAGCAAGACAAGGGAAGTGTTGGCTGGACCAATTGGAAACTCATAGCAAAACCGAGTTGGGTCTTTAGTCCAACGGTTTAGGAAGTGGATGTGCTGAAGAGCATGGAGATCCAAAGGGGTTGGCTTGGGTAGTGGCTCATAGTTGGGAATGTCAATCCCCACATGTTGTACTATGGCCGTGATAAGCCTCCCAAAACGAACACAAAGCTTCTTGTTGCCTTCCAAGTCTTTAGCTAGCTTCCTCACATTGATAATGTCTTGGCAAGTAAAAGGCCAAGGTTGGCCTTGTACTCATGCTTGATGAATGGTGTGGTGAGGATGTAGAACTCATCAGTTGTGACCTTGTTGGCTTCTTGTTTGCATTGGAAAGTGGTGGAGATGAGGCGGTGCACATAGCGAATGGCTGGATGAGTGATTCTAGACACCTTTGATCTTGAAGGCAAGAATGGTTCATTGGCAAAGTGTGTCCAATCAGCAAAGGCAGCTTGTTTCCTCTTTGAGTTCTCCTTGAAGTCATGTGCTGTCTCATTGGGAAGTCCAAAGAGTTGGCATAGAGCTGAGATGGAGATGCGCCCATTGGCATCGCCTATCTTGAAGAGTAGGAGTCCATCACCAGCTGGTTGGTCTCCATTGTGGTTGGGAAAGGCAAGAGCTACTGTGGAGAGGAACTCCTTGGTGAGTTGTGAGTACTCACTACATTCTAGCTTGAAGAGCTTGCTCAAGCCTAGCTTCCTTATGTACCATGTGACATCATCTCTTATCTTGAGAAGGTCAAGGGTTTGGGTGTCCATCTTCACACAAGGTTCGATGTTCACCTTCTCCATTGCCTTCTTGCACTTTCTTGGGTCTTGGATTTGTTCTCCAACAAAGCTTACAAGTGCCCAATCATCTTCTCCTCTTCTTGGACTCTCCACATGTTCTTGATTGCATCAATGGAATGTGGTGAAGTTGGTATTGCTGCTCTTGCATTGGAGCTACTACTCCCTAGCTTGATTTGTTTCTTTGGTGGTTCCATGAATGGGTTCTTCTTCTTCTTCATACTCTCATTTCCTTTTGTCTTTGCCATTGGTACCTACCTTATGTGTTGAAAAGTGAATAAGGTTAGCAAGAGCAAGTAATTTCCAATTTAGAGTTATGAACAGTAAAAGTTTTGAAATCAAAACTCTTAGAGTTCCTCTAATGGAGTTTAGGGTTTTGGAGAAGAAAGAGAGGTTCTTGTTGTTTTCAAGGGAAAGGTGAAGTAAATAAGATCTAAATCCTATCAATTTTCCTTTTCAAATTCGAATTTTGATTGAAAACCGGTTTAAGTTGGTTTAGGATTGGTTAAAACCGGTTTGAATTTAATGAAAAGGGGACTTACCTTGGCCGAGAAAAGTTTTGGGCCGATGGCCATGATTTTGTCGCGGTCGAGCGATTTGGTCGGCCAAATTCGGTTTTGGCGAGAGAATTTCGGCCGAGGCCGAGCGTGTTTCCCGGATCGACCGGCACGGTCGGTCCGTTCCGAAACAAAATCCGGCCGATCGCGGCCTGTTCTTTCCCGGTCGCGTGTGCGTCGAACGTTTTCTGTCGCGCATAGAAATATCCGGCCGAGCACGTTATTCCTTCCCGGCTCGACCGTGACGGTCGGCCAGATTGGAATTGCTCGGCCAAAATCTCTTTTGCGCGTCCGCGGCCAATGGTTTGGCGCGGATTGTGTTTTCACACCTTTTTCTCCTTCTATCCTATCTTAAAACAAAGAAAACACAAAAGCAAAACAAAAACTAAGAAAATTAAAGAAAGAAAAGTAAAAGTACCTCATGGGTTGCCTCCCATGCAGCGCTTGTTTTAAGTCTTTAGCTTGACTGTAAGGCTTGGCGCTCAGGAGAAGATGGAGACAAGAGGCATCTTTGATCCTCCAAGTCTTTTCTCCTTGCAATGAGTATCTGGTGGGTGATTCACAGCTGGATAGACAATCTCTCCATGAATGTCCCTTGGCACTACTGCCTTAGGAAAAAGCTTTAGAGTTCTTGTCACTCTTCTCCTTGAATCCTTCTAGATTCTCATCAATAAGCTCCTTGGGAATAGAAGCTTCATGTTGCGGCCAGACCTAGGTTTTCTAACCTTCTTCTTGGCTTGGCCTCATCTTCAATCTTGGTTGATCCCTTGGGCGGTTTTGGTGTAGGGGCCTTAGTCTTACTCCTTGCTTGTTTGGCAAGCTGCTTGGGCTTAGGAATGGGATCTTCCTTGATTGTTTCTTCAGTTTCTCCTTCTTGGGGTGGCTTCAAAGTAGCTTTCTCCTCTTGGACCATGTCAACAAAAGAGTTCTTTGTTGAACACATAGGGAAGAACATACCCTTGTTCACCTTGTTGAAAGAGATTCTTTGATTGGGGAAATCAAATATGGCACCCACAGTAGACAGGAAAGGGGTTCCAAATATGAGAGGTCTATGACTACTCTCTCTCATTTCCACAATCTGGAAATCAGTAGGGATAGAGCAATTTCCAATCTGCACCATCACATTAGGCACAAAGCCATAGGGTGTTTGTGAGAATGAATCAGCATAGTTGATGGAGATGGATGATGGCTCTATCTTGGTGAGGCCTATCTTGTCAGCTATCCTCTTAGACATGATGTTCACATTGGCTCCTGTGTCACACAAAGATTGCTCAAGAATGTTACCTTTGATGATACAAGGCACAACAAACTTTCCTGAGTTATCTGTCTTGGGGATAATCTTTGGGAAGAGTCTTCTCTTTCTAGCTCGATTGGACTCTCTCTCTGGGTAATTCTCTTCAGGCCAAATCATGCAATCAACAGTAGGTTTTGAAAGCATCCATTATGG